GATGGTATGTTGAATTTTGTTGAAGAGAAGTTAGTTTTGAGTACAATATTTTGATAGTTTAAAAGATTTTCGAAAGGAATAAGTGTAAAATTGGGTAAAGAGTTGATTTCTTGAGGGAGATAAATATGAGCTTCATGTGAGTTATTATCAGATGTTTTGATAGAAATTTTTATATATTGTTCTGAGTAGTATTCTGGATGTTCATTTTGGATAAATTTTAAAAAAGAGCCAATTGATTGTGGTGAGGGTAGGAGTTGTAAGTTGTAGAATGCGAGGAATTTATTAAAACAGATGAAGGAATTGTATAATTTGAGTAAATCTGGGATTTCAGTATAAGTTTTCCCTTTAATAGTGTTTGTTGTTGGTAAGTCTATAGTATCATTATAGTCTTCTGTTAATGATTCGTCATCATCGATTTTAGTGCTTGATTTTGTTGGTGTTTTATAAAGATATTTGGTATATGGAAGTTTTTTGGAGAAGTTAGATGTGAGTTTAGTAAAAAGGGGTTCTCAGAAGGATATGATGAATTGTTATCTGAGAAGTTAGATTTTCCTTCTATAGATGTGCTCACTGTATACTCAGTTTTCACAGTTGCAGAGGATACCATAGCCTGCCCTGTACGTTGGGTTTGACCGTCATTAGCTTGGTCCTTCACGTACACTTATTGCTGTTAATCTGTGGCAAAGTCTAAATTATACAGAACAGGAAAGCAAAGAATTAATTACTCAGCTTCAACAATTCGATGCAAAACTGTCTTCATTTGATTTACCTTACACTAATGGAATGGATACACCACTTTTATAATAAGAATCTATTAAAAATAAACCTCAACACTTGGCAGAATTGGCATGTCAATTATTCTCAATTCCTCCAATACAAGCAAGTTGTGAATGAAATTTTTCCATATTAAAATGGATGATCAGTGATAAACGAACAAGATTAAGTATTAGTAAACTTGAAGGTATGTCAAAAATTTGATCTTATTATATGACCAATATCAAATCAGAATTGATACATTATAGAAAAGAACTTACAGAAGTAGAGTTACGTGAAGTTATTAATACTTCAATAGTTAAAGAAGTAATAGCTTTAGAGAATGAAGAAGTAATATCTAATTCTGATGAACTATATTCTAAAGATATGGAATTTAATCAAGATACTTTAAATATTAGTGAGATTGTGGATTTAACTCAACATTATTCAGAAGATGAAAGAGAAATATTAGACGCAAATAATGATAATAGTATGCAGACCAGGAATATGATATATTCTCCAAAGGATTTAGTAGATTAGTTTTTAGCTGAACAAACGAACTATAATTAACATTATCATTAAAAATTAAAGCTAAAACTATATTTATGTAATTAATTACCTGATTAAAAATTAAGAATAGTAATTATCATTATGCTTATTTATAAAAAACTTCGAAGTTTATAGTTAAAGTGTTATCTTATTTCGTTGTATATCTGATATTTAAGTTATGACACTAGATATGACATGCACCATGTGATACAACATGCAATTTTTGCCACATGTAGTTAAAAGTTGCAACTATGTAATGCGGTTTACTATAATGCAATTGAAGTTACAACTTTGAGTTATGCCTGCATCTCTAAGCTTAAGTACTATGCATATGTTGTTGATATAAGTTATTTGTGCTAATGTTATTCTTTTGAGAGGTTTTTTTTGGTATTAAGATGATCTCTTTGATTGTAGCTTTTTATTAATACTTATATCAAATATATGTTTTATATAAACATATTTATATTAAACTATTAGACAAGTATACAACTAATTACATGTATAACTTTTCTATATTACTTATTTAAGAAGTCTGCCCAAAGGTTCTTTACCAGTTGCTGTACCTAACATTCCTGCTTAAATGTTCTATTTAAATCTTCTAATTTGATCTTGGTATTAATTTTACTGGATCACAGACCTAGATCTATTTACTTTTAAGCATAGAACTATAATCTTTAGACTATTTTTATTCTTAAGATAAACCTATCAGAGTGAGCCATATTCTCTTTTACTGCTAATCTGGTTTAATGCTATGGTCAAGACCAACACTTGCAGTTAGGATTATCTCTTAAACTACTATTATTTTTGTAAAGTTTACCCAAACTCTAGTAACTATTTTTTTAACTTCTTCTCTATTATCTCCTACTAGCTGCAATTCAGAACTAACTGACTTTTCAGACTTCCAATCCAGATAACCTGGTATAGTATACTTATATATTCTTTTTCTTTAGTGATTCTGGCAGCCTGGTTGGTTATATGCTCCTTTATACATCTTGTTATTCAGTTTATCCAATAGTTTCTATAAAGATGTTTTATAGGTTTTTATTAGTTTAATGATATCATTGAAAGTTTATGCTACCTCTTTATTCAAAATTTCCAAATAAGTTTCTGTTTTCTCAGTTTCTTCACCTTTTATGTCTAGTAGTTTTATTATAAGTTTGCACCAAAGCCTTATATAATATCAGTTTTCATAATTCTCTCTGAATGTATAACATTACACTTTACATAGATGTCCCAAGCTTCCAATGTTAGATGGAACCTGACTTGGTGTATCTAAGATTACAGATGACCAAAACCCAACCAATCAGCAAGAAACAGTTACTATAACACAAATATAATTTCTAAAATTTGTCATTTATAAGAATTGAACCTTAGACCTGCCACTTGAGGGTTAACAACCTATCTACTTCACTAGATTACTACATTCATATGTTATTCTTTTAGTTTTAAAACTTTTTACTATTATATATAACTTTTTTGGCTTTTGTTTTGACTAAGAACTCTTTTAATTTATTGTTAAACTATATCCTAAAAAATTTGTTATTTTGTTTTTATTTTTTTTTGAATTTATTCATTGCTTATCTGTATTTCTTTATTTTTTATTTTTTATTTGTATTTATAACTATTAGTTTGAATTTCTTTTTATTTATTTGAATATTATTAATTTCAAAAAATTTTTCTGCTATTTAAATTGTCTATTTTATTTATTTGTTATTCTTGACAATTCAAGTTGTATTATTAGCAAAAGCTATTACTGCTTGTCTTTATTTTATTTTTTTGCAATAGTTAAGATTGTAATTATTTTTTATTATTATTATTTTTTTTTTAGTATTAAAATAACCTTTTTGGTCCTAGCTTTTTATTAATACTTATATTAAGTACATGTTTTATATAAATGTATCTATATTGACTATCAAATAAGTATACAACTGGCTATATATATAACTTTTCTATATTACCTATTTAAGAAGTTCGCTTGAAGGTTTCTCACTAGTTGCCATATCTAACACCTTTGCTTAAATGTTCTATTTAAACCTTCTGATCTGATCTTAGTATTAATTTTACCAGATTACAGACTCAAATCTATTTGCTTTTAACCATAGAACTATAATCTTTAGACTATTTTTATCCTCAAGGCAAACCTATTAGAGTAAGCTATATTTCTTTTTACTGCTAATCTGATTTAACATTATAGCTAAAACCAATACTTGTAGTTAGAATTACTTATTAAACTGCTATTACTCTTGTAAAGTTCATCCAAATTCTGGTATTCATCTTTTTGACTTCTTCTTTATCATCTTCTATTAGCTACAACTCAGAACCAAATAACTTCTCAAACTTCTAATTCAAATGATCTGGTATAATATGCTTATGTATCCTTTTTTTTTGATAATTCTGTCAGCATAATTGGTTATATGCTCCTTTACACATCTTGTCATCTGATTATCTAACAGTTCCTATAAATGTATTTTATAAGTTTTTATTAGTTCAATAGCATCTTCAAAAGTTTGTGCTATCTTTTTACTTATAATTTCCAAGTAGGTTTCTGTCTTTTCAGTTTCTTAGCCTTCTATGCTCAGTAGTCTTATTATAAGTTTGCACTGAAGCCTTATATAATATCAGTTTTTTATATATTTTTATATATATATAATGTTATACTTTGCATAGATGTTTTGAGATTCTAATGTTAGATAGGACCCAACTTGGTGTATCTAAGATTACAAATGCCCAAAACCCAACTGATTGGCAAGAGACAGTTACTATAACACAAGTATAATTTTTAAAATTCATTATCTATGAGAATTGAACTTTAGACCTGCTACTTAAGGGTTAACAACCTATTCACTTTACTAGATCATCACATCTTTGAGATTGTAATTATATAGAATATCTATCTTAGCTATATACTTAAGACTTGAGTTTGCTTGAATTTTTTTGAGTAATAGATTATAAAATATTCTTTATACTAATAATAATAAACTTCATCTTGTTTAATTTTGTTCTAAACTTTCTATGTTTCTGTAGTTTTTTAATATGTAATTACTTTAAATTGTTTGTTTGCAAATAAATTTAATATAAACTTTATAATTCTTTTAGGCATTTTGAGTCTTTTTATTGCCAGATCTAATGCTTATGAAGATACTAAATTGAATACTTTTTTATGTCTTAAAAAACTAGTTATAATTTTTTATTATTGTTCTTAGTATTTTTTATTAATATATTGATAATATTTACTAGTTTTTCTGTTGAGTTTTTAAAAATACTTGTAAAATTAGAACCTTTGAGTATTTTTTTTCTAATAAATACTTATATTAATTTGTTTGTTAGATCTTTGTTATATATTTTATTAGAGTCTTTACAGAGCAATAGGTCTAATATTATTTAAGTTATATTGCTATTCTGTTTTTTTTGATATAAAGAATATTTGTAATATTTTTTTATTTTTTTTTAATATAGTGTTTGTCTTAATGCATATTTTTGCAAAATTTCTAAATATTTTTTATATACATAAGCCTGCTACTTGTATAAGCTTATAAGTAATTTTCGTAACTATTGAAGTTATGTTTTTTTTAAGATCATTAACATTTCTGACTATTCATCTGCTATAATGTTTTGGCTTATATCTTTATACTAATCTGACTATATTGATTTTTTTTTTTTTTATAAAAAAGGTCTTTTTTCTAGTTCTTTATTTCAGTAATATATAATTAAGTATATTAGTACAAATTGATACATTAAACTAAGAAAGTAGAGGTTAGAACTGGTTTACTCTTAACATATTCTTAGCTAAAATGGTTAAAAGACCTCTAGTTTATAGGTTCAATAAGAAGAGATATTTAGTTAAATTGTATAAATCTATTAAGTTATATTGTATATTGTTTATTTATAAAAGTTGTAGATATGACATTCATGTTTTTAAAAGAGGTTAGTAAAAAGAAGAAGTAATGTTGAAGACATTGTTTATTTGATTTTGATATATGTTTATATATCTTTTTTGTAATTTGATGATATATATTTAGAAGCAAGTTTGGTTTTTTTTTTAAAAAATCTAAAAGTAGTTAAATTGTCAGTTATAATTCTTATTAGTTTATATGAATGTTTTAGATTTCTTAAGCTAAGTTAGATGCTATAAATAATTCAATCTTATTGTCTTTATAAAATTTTGACAATTGTTTCTTTTATTATTTCTTTTAGTTCTACTTAATTGTAAGAACAAGTCAGCATGTAATAAATATCTTCTGGTATGCTAAAACATTTTGCACAAAATAAATTAGTATAAGTTTTTGGATTTTTCTTGTATAAATTTAGATGAATAAGAAGTTCTAAGAGTAAGATTTTGACTTTAAATGTTTTTAGCAAAGATTTTTTAAGATTAGAGTTTCAACTTAGAGGTTTGTTTTGAAAGTTAAGATATACAAAAGTAAGTTTTCAGTTAATATTTAAAAGGCAATTTATAATGTTTTTAATGTGTTTCTAATTATTCTATATTGTAATTGCTTCAGCATGTTGTAAAATTTTAATATTTAATAAATTGTATATATAATTAGTGTGTTTAGTATATATTGAATAAAAGTAGTATTAAGTACTATATTTGAAATTAAGTTCATATAAAATTGGTATAATGTGTTTTTTATATTGATCTTTTTTTTTATTATGTTAATTTGAATTTATAAATTTTTTGCATTTATTATAATATTTAGAAGGTTAATTATATTGTTAAAATAAGTTTTTTTAAAATTTTTGTCTTTGCTCTAGTTGGGTTAAAAGTATTGTTGTAATTTTGTTTTTAATTATATTTTTATTTGTTAAAATTTGAATACTTGTTTCTGCAATTATTACTATAAATATTATTGCTAACATTGTTAATATTGTATAAGTTGAAGAAGAAAATGTCTAATTTGTGCAATGCCAAGTTTGCTTGTTATGTAAAAATGCAAGTTAGGCAAATAGTATATTATATTTGCTTGTTTTTTTGTAATTTGTTATTAATG